ATAAAATTAGACGAGAATTTTTTTCAGGAACTGAACAAGATAGTTTTGAAATGTCTATGGTTGAGTAAAAAAGCATAAATAAATTTAAAGATGTTACAAGATAGTATAAGGGGAGGTGGCCTTGGACTCCCAAAATGGGAATTGTACTATCAAGCAGCAGTTCTAATATGGGTAAAGGAGTGAATAAATTTAAAAAATAAAAGAATCTTAGCAATTGAGGGCCATAATCTTCAAGCAGGGTAGCACGCCTTTCTATGGGACAAAAAAAATAAAGACTCACTAATACTTCCATAGACATTTGATAAGGGAATCACTATTACAAACATGGGGAAAGATAAAAAGAAAACATTATATGAAAGTATTGAGTTGGGTTTCACCTATGGAAGCAATATTATATCCAAACACAAGGGATAAAAAAAAAAGATTAGATATGAAGAATTATTAGATAATCAGGAGAATCTAAAAACAATTGAAGAATTAAAAGATGAGGATATAATTATAGATTGGTGGTCATACTTACAAATTCAGACAAAATTTAGAAAAGATTCAGAAGAACACGGGATAGAAAAAGATTTACAACAACTAGGCCAAATTCTGACAGGCAAGGAGGAAAAATTCATAACAAGAATGTACAATTATTTATTGGAAGTGGAACTAGAAGAAGAAATAGTGAAGGGACCAATGATTGCCTGGACAAAAAATGTAGGTCATAATATAAAATTAGAGGACTGGGAAAAAATGTGGATTAGTAACTGTAAATTGACATTGTCAACAGCATTTAAAGAAAATCAGTACAAAATGTTTTATAAATGGCACTTACCAGCAAGACTAGTTAAAATATATCCAAATATAAAATCAGAATGTTGGAAATGCAATCATAAAGAAACATTTTTCCATATGTGGTGGCAATGCCTAGAAGTTAAAAAATATTGGATGAGGATACAAAGATGGCTATTAGAAATTACAGAATACCAATTAGAACTTAAACCGGAAATATTTTTATTAGGAATAATTAAGGGAAAAATTAGCAAGTCTATCCGATACATCATTATATATATTATAACGGCAGCGGGAATAGCCTTCACACAGGGATGGAAAAAAGAAAAGATATAATCCGAAGAAGATCTGATACAAAAAATAATGGACTGTGTGGAAATGGATAAATTCACAGCGGAATTAAAAGGCAAGGATGAATCAGACTATTATGTAGTTTGGGATAGATGGTACAAATCGGTAGAATATAGAAATAGAATTGATGTATAGGTATAAAAGGAAATATATGTATTACTAACGACACAAGGCTGTTAATGTAAATAGAGATTTGTAATTTTGTTTTTAAAAATAAAATAAATATATGATTTAAAAAAAGAGAGAGAAATTGTGATTAGGAGAGTGCACTACTTTATGTGTGTAGCAGCATCTTAATGCAGATGCATGTTTTCCAGGCCACACACAGCTGCACACAAGATCCTGGGAACAGGCATGTTTGATTAAGGTGTTTTTGACAGGTACTATATCTATGCCTATGTATCCTCAGAACCACAATTCTCCTTTTGAATTCAAAACACTGTATAGCCCTAGTGCAACATTTATTTATTTATTTATTAAATTCATTGTGCAGTGACTCTGAGAAGCTTACAGGTTATAAAACAAGTAGAAAAATAATTAAAATATTAAAACATTAAAACTATACAGATTAAGATTTTAGAAAGAATAGAAAATGATTCTGTTTTCCCTAAAAATGAGCAATTAAGTTGAAATACCTGCTTTTCTTCCCCTCAAGAATATTTCTTCGAAGATGGTAAGAATTATAGGAGACAAGAAAGTTCATAGCATCTACAGAGCAACTGTTATTAAACAGTGTTCGGATCAAAGCATACTCGTGGTAAGTAACAGCACACTGTATTTTATTATTTACATTTCAACTGACTACATTCCAAGGGTTAAAGATGAGCAATACTAATATATAAGAGCTGTGAAAATAATTTGAAATATATACTTTATGTTACATGAGAATGTAAGCCACACTCTTTTCTTCAATCATTAAAGCTTTCAAGTTTCACACAACTGCTTCCAGCTTGAATGTGTGTATATACATATCATCCTGGGAAGCAAAATACCGGTTCATCCATACATGCGCAAACACGAAGACACAGTAATTTCCAAAACAGCCTCATGATCCTTACAAAAGACAGAGATACTTTAATCATCTGGTTAAAAGCATGACTTAGTCAACTGAAGAGAAACTTGAATCATACTCCACACAATGTAAATTACCTCTTCAGGATGCTTGTTCTGAATACATAAAAAGTAAAACCAACATACCTGAAAAAATATGCACCTTTCACTATTATTTCCTTCATCTAATACTATAATACTATTCATTCTTTCTTCTGTTATTTCCTTCTAATACAATCAGTCAGTCGCACTATAGCCTTTCCTTTTAAAGATTACTATGGTTACTGTGGTAGCTGCCTTATTTTATTTTTGATAAGATCAACACAAACTTTTGAAAAAGAAATCCTATTTTCAGATTAATACTATCTCATAGGTTACATACTGGCTAATCCATGTTGCAATAATTCCTGCCAGATGGACTTACTGTATGCCTCCTAAAGATCTGCAAAGATGAAAAAAGGTTTCATTCTGTGCTCACTAAATAATTCATACCAAATATTTTCTGTGCTCTATGTTCTGACAGAACAAAATTTGAAACTTTTTTCATATTCTGTTATAATGAATAAGTTTGAAACAAGCCTTTTAATCTCTTATTTTTTAATTCTACAGCTATGTGCAAGCATACGATATGTGCAAGAATTCAGAAGATAGTTGGGTAAAGCTCTATCCTCAAACTTATAGAAAAACTACTCAAAAGGATTTTTTTTAATGTTTAAGCTTTTTAAAGTTCTCAAAACCACAATGAGAACAACAATTAGCATGGTTTTTGCAATCTGAATTTCTTGTAGATCTAAGTCCAGCAAAGTTGCATCAACACAGATTCTCTTTAACAAATTATCATAGCACACACACAGTGAAATAACAAAAGTATTATTTCTGTGGCTCGGCTCAATTTTTTTTCTAATCCATATGTACAGTGTACTTTTCCCATTTAGTAGTTTTGCTACAAAAGCTCAAAATATCTACATAATGTTTTATATAACAACCTACAATTACAATTCACATGTATGGTGCACACATTTGAATTTTGTACTTTACAGGAACAACATTGCAATTCATGAATTCTCACTTATCCATAATTAAGAATTTTAATAAATATTTTTTAAAAAATATTACTGAGCAATCAGGCACTAATTACAACTAAAATGGTTCTGAATTCCCAAATTAGTTTTATAGTTACACAATCTGTGAACTTGGTAATTTGGCTGAATCTAAGCTAAAAGTTAAATTTATAAGGGAGAGAAAGTTATATTGTTTGTCTGAAAGGAGGCAACGATCCATATCCTCCTCAAGAACTCCCTTCCATTTTTAGAGGTTGTTGAGAAGACGGCAAACCAGCAATTACAGAGAGCTTTATAATAGATTTTCAAGCCTCGTTCCCATTGCAGTTTAGACCTCAGTACAGGACTGAGATTGCACTGGTTATTTGGGAGGAAAATTTCTATCCCAGACCAAATAGAAAAAGTGGTCAAAATTTTGGCCTGGTGCTAAGAGGTTTTTGGGATCTAGTTGGGGAGAAAAAGTGACAGTTAAAATTATGTTGTATTTGTATTGTTTGGGATTTACCTATTATTGATTGTAGTTATATGATTTATTTAAACTGAATTACTGGATATAGGGATTATTAGCTGCAAAATCTGTGGCCTGAAGAAGCATACAATTCAAAGATATTTCTTCCTGCAAATGTAAAAATGAGTATCTCCTCTTATTTCCATTAGCTGGGATAAGATAGATCCTGCCATACTGGCATATGAGGACTATTAAAATAAATCCTTAGACAACAAATCCCAATTTTTCCTCTTAGCAGGGTGTGGAGACACTTAGGAGGCAATATTTAGGAATAGTGCATTCTGTGCTACAGTTCAGTTATACATCTTAATGTTGTGATTGGTACTGTTCTCACAATTGTGCTTTACAAGGGCTGCACAGGTAGGCTTTTTCCACAATTGTCACTGTGGCTGATCTCCAGAGGCAAAAGTCACACTTTTGTCTCAGCTCTGTGTCTTCTAGCTCAAGTTGTGTGCGATTATGATGCTGTAGCAAGCTGCATCACGTGACTGATGCTTGTCAATGGCGAAGCCAGAAGGGAAGGTCACAAGTCACCCCAACATGTCACTCCTGCTTTTCCTCCTGAGGAGCTTGCTACAGAGTATGAGAATCCAGGAATCTTATATTCCATAGCACCTAGTCCTCCAGCAGACTCCACCCCCTTTCCCGTGACCTCAGTTAACTTGCCTAAGACTCTAGAAGCCGTGATGGCACAGTGCCTAGAATGCAGTATTGTAGGCTAATTCAAGTCACTGCCAGATGTTCAATTCTCACCAAGCTCAAGGTGGATTCAACTTTCCATTCTTCCAAGTTTGATAAAATGAGGATCCAGATCGTTGGGGGCAATATACTGACTCTGCTTAAAAAGTGCTTTAAGATATTGTGAAGCAGTATGTCCCAAAGGTGCTTTTTTCAAGAGGCAACTGGACTTTCTGGTTTTTCTTTGAAGACATTTCGCTTTTCATCCAAGAAGCTTCTTTAGCTCTGACTGGATGGTGGGGAATGGAAGGATTTATACTCCTTGCAGACAGCTGGACATTTGCATTCTTTTAGCGGGTCATTAAGGCCACCTAGAGGTTTATCTACGTCATCAGGGTCATCTGCGTGGTGCAAATTGGTGTGGGCGCTGTTGAGAGGGGACTATTCAATTTTGACATAGATGTCCTCTTTAATCCTTTTCAAACCAGTGATCCTCTGATTTGAGTGGCCTATGAAGCAGTATATAAGTCTAAGTGCTAGTGTTACTGATCCTCACAAGAATTCTATTGACCAGCCATGGGTCTCTGTTTGCCCTCCTATGACTGCTCCCTATCCCCCATCCCTTATGTTCCCTAGCACTTGCCACAGCATCTGTGCATTCACCTACTCTCCTTAATATCTTGTACATTCTGGGATTATAATGGCAATTGGACTCCCAGGATTGCTATCATTATGTAATATGGTCAAGTGACATTATACCTTTTAATTTAATCCAGTTAATGATGTCACTTCTCCTGCCAAAAGAGCACATAAATTGCATGGGCAATACAGGCAAATTACATTCCAGCATCAGAAAAACTGTTTATGGCTAAAACAGTTGCTCAATTATTATATTTTACTGGGAGCCACCCAGAGTTGTCTGAAAGATAGGCAGCTATATGTTTTAAATAAATAGGTTACAACTTGACCCATATACAAACCTGAATTCATTTAATCAAATTACTTACAACTTTTTTTGCTTTCAGAGTGCGTTTTGTACCCCAAAATGCACTCCCAGAGCAATCTTGAGATTTGAAGCTAATATGCTAAGTATTAAGGCTCAAGCCTGGATTAGGCTTCTAATCTTAGGATTTAGAATCATGTTTGACCCCATACGCCTGACTCCTCTGCTGTTGTCAGTTACCAATTTCATTAGCACGGTGTCTGAGTAACAGAACTTTGCAGTCTTTGCGTCTCTCCTGAATATTTATGCCAATTAACCATGGAGAAGGCCAAATCAATAGTAAAAGAGAAAATCAGGGACATTGATCATCAAAATGTTATTACCAATACCATTGAATTCTATTACTAAATATTAGATAGCCACAAGTCTTCTACTGTGAGGTATCTATCTACACAATGTAAATCTAAGCAAATGTAGATGGGCCTTTCCATAGCTGGCTTTGATCTCCTGCTATCAGCTGTACTGGTGGGAAGATTCCATGGAATTCCTTATTTGCAGAGACTTTGTCCTTGTATTCCAGGATGGTAGAAACTCTTGTACATGTTCTCATATGATCTTTTTATGATGCCACAAGATATGCTCTGATCTCCCCTTTGATTTTCAAATATGAGGGCCACACTGATAAATATTATGTTTATTACTTTTTAAGGGAGGCTAACCCCACAATCAGGTGGCCAAATATCTTCACCAAGTTATACAACTGCATAAAACTTTATTAGAATATGTCATTTTATTGTGGAATTGTTTTTTCTTTTCCCAGTAACAAATTATTGTGCCAAACTATTTATTTTTTTACTATAAAGGCTGGTCAAAGATTGTAATAAAGGGATTTGATTTGACTACATTACTTAGCGATGGCAATCCTAGCCCCACTTGCCATTGTAATCTGAGGACTAATTGTAGTTTGTTACCTGGACTCAATTGTTGTCAGGGGACAGTTAGATGAAATGGTTGCTTAACTGGTTCTCTGCTGTTCAATTACCTCAAACTAGGGATGACAGATGAAATATGGACCTATTTATTGGGTAATACACCTTCCAAATCATAGTCTGAAGATTTGGGGTGGGGGGAAAACTCCCAAGTAGATGATTGGAGAGTTCATTCAAATCTTCTCCATTCAAATCTATCAAGCAGCAACGCTTCCTCTTTAAAAACAAAAACAAAACAAAAACCAAACAACGTGGCTTTAAGGAAAAACAAAGGAACTTTTCACTACCAACCTTCAATACTTCACTACCTCCACTATTTCATTACCTCAGGACCAATTATTGATAGATAATTCTTTGTCTAAAATAATTGATTTATCATTTAATAGTATAATTAATTGTTAAATGACCACTAATTTACTGATTTATTGAATTGATAGAGATTTAATACTGTATTATCTAGTTGATTTATTGATTTTTAGTAATCTTATTTTTGATTTGTTCTCTAACTTATCAATTAACATTTATTAATTACCAACATTAAGTAACTGTCTACCTATCATATTAATTAGCTACTGTAATTGTTTAGTGTACTATTGTCATTGACCATGACAGCCAAAAACTCCAAACCCTCCACTACCAAACAACAAAATATGTCTACCAATGACCTCCCAGACTCCTGCACATGCTTCAAATGTCTTGAAACCATCAATGAAAGTGAAAATAACATTAAATGCCACCTATGTGACAATCAAGCCCACCTCGCCTGCTTAAACTTAAACAAAAACCTAGCTGATCTCCTAAAAACCTCAGATACATTCCCTTGTCTATGTCCATCATGTTTACCTAACCTAAACAAAGTACCCTGTCTGACAGAGTTTAAAGCATAGAATCACTAATTCACTCAATAGAAGAACACTCAGCAACAAGTTTTGAAACAACTATACGAGCAAGCCTAATCTCTCTTGAAAAAAAAAATACAGCACAGATAAGCGAATACCTATCAGCTCAAAATCAAATCCCAACCCAACAACCACTACCACAACTACCACCTCAACTACAATCACAACTACAACCCAAAATAACCACCAAACCACAGCCACAAATAATCACTATCCCATCAAATAATTCCACAAATGATATCCCCTAACTCATCAGAGACATCATGGAAAATGATCAGAAATGTCCAAATACCATCTTAGTTGGTGTTGAAGACACCAACGAATCAGATGATATCATCAAAGTTCACAATATCATAAGCAACTCAAATACAACAAACATCTCTCTTGAAGATATCACTGAAATAACCAGTGATGGCCCCGAGTTCAAATACAATGACGGCTCGGTGGCCCCAAGATTTTGTAGAGTTGTTTGCAAAAATGAGTCCAGCAAATGTATATTCATTCATACAATAAACGCCACTGCAAAAACCAATCCCACCCATAACAAACTTTGCTCAAGACCAGACTTATCCATACTGCAAAGAATCCATTCCCGTGAACTCCGCACATAACTCAAAAAACGTCTAGACAATGGAGAGAAGGACCTATACATTGACTATCGTGCTGATTGTATTAAAAGTAAGTCACACAACCCACAACTCAGCATCCAACCCTACATCATCCAATCCACCATCACCCAAAACTAGGCACGCACGTCCCTAACTACCTCTATTCCAACTACAACTGGCCTTACATGCAAGCTACTCAATGCAAGAAGCCTCGTAAATAAAATCCCTGAATTTCTCCTCTTACTAAATACGGCTAAATTTGACATCATATTTGTCCATGAAACATGGCTCAAAGCATCTCTCCCTGACTCCATTACTACAGTAAGAGACTATCATGTTTACCGATCAGATCGTGAAATCCATAGAGGAGGTGGTGTTGCTATCTTCTATAAAAAGTCCCTACATCTAAAAAACATCCAAGTTACCCAGGAGCTTGCTATTCCTGAGACCATCGTCTGTGAACTGTCCTTAAATATCACATTTCGATTCTTACTATGTTACAGAGCCCCTGATTATTACATCGAACCTGTAAACAAGTTAAATTTCACTACTAACATGGGCAACATCCTGCCCGTACGCTTTTAACTTTCTTGGTGACTTCAATCTACCTCATATTAACTGGACCCTAAGCTAATGTAAAACTGAACCCACACATGCAACCTTCTACAATGCTGTAACAAATCTGGGACTGGAACAACTAGTAACCAACAATACTAGACTTAACAACTGCCTCGATCTCATCTTCTGCAAGTTTGATTTCAATTTACGGAATACAAATAAAAGAACCCTTTTCCAACAGTGACCACAGCATGATTGACTTTTGTCTCAACATATGTCCTCACAAAAATCATCATAACGACAGGATACCCAATTATAACTTCAAAAAAGGCAACTATGATCTTATAAACAACGATCTCTCATGTCTTGATTGGCAAAATCTATTCACTGGATGCAATACTGTCGAAGACCATTATAACATATTTTTACTTGAAATCAAAAGAGTCATCAAACTATATGTACCAATAACAACTCCCAAAACAAAAACAAACAAAAACAAAAACAAATTACCCATAACAATAAGGAAGCTCCAATCCAAAAAGAAATCACTTTGGCGGAAAAACAAATCTGGTCAGGTTGCCAACTTTAAAAGCCGATACAAAAATTTTTGCCACCAGATAAAGACTGAATGCACCAATTATCACATTAAACAAGAGAAAACCTTCTATGCACCAATTCTGTGCTTTCTACAATTTTGTAAACAACAAACTTAAAGACTCAAGGTCCATCCCACCCCTGAAAGGACCTAACGGTAAAGAGCCAACCTCTTTAACACATTCTTTGGCTCAGTCTTTGTAAACAGCACTGGATCATGCCCAATATTTCCTAGTCAAACCACAGACAACTACAATGATCTAATACATATTGATTTTACAGAAGATAATGTTGAAAAAGCACTACACAACTATTGAAAAATCTTTCAGGACCAGCTCCTTGCCAAACCTCTGGTCACTACCCACGGTCATCCCCCTCTTCAAAAAGGGAGACCCCAGCCTAGTTGCGTCACCTGTAAAGTCATGGAATCAACTATTAACCAATCCATTATCCTCCACTTAGAGACAAACAACCTGCTCTCTAACAAACAATTTGGTTTCAGAAAAAAAATATCCTGTAATCTGCAACTCCTACACTGCAAAAACATATGGTCTACACAACTCGATCAGGGCAAAGCAATTGACGCAATCTACATAGACTTCTGTAAAGCCTTTGACTCAGTGGCACACGACAAACTACTCCTAAACCTAAAATCTTGTGGCATCTCCAGACACCCGCATAACTGGACAGATGCTTTCCTGTCAAACAGACAACAAATGGTCAAAATAGGGAACACCCTATCAAATCCTGTACCTGTCAACAGTGGTGTCCCCCAAGGCAGCGTTCTAGGACCAACTCTCTTCATACTTTACATAAATGACCTCTGTGATCATATTAAGAGCAACTGCATCCTCTTCGCTGATGATGTAAAGCTATTTAACACCACTGACAATACTGCTACCCTTCAAAATGACCTCAACTATGTGTCAGAATGGTCAAACAAATGGCAACTTCAAATCTCAACAAACAAATGCTCTGTCCTACATATCGGCAAA